GCTGTCGAGTTCAAATCTATGAGTCTTACGTACGGACAGCTCAACGCCCAGGCCAATGCCGTCGCGCGATTGCTGACTGAGGTGGGCGTTCGTGTTGGCACTCGAGTGGCGGTGATCATGGAGCGTTGCCTGGAGTTTCCTATTGGCATGTTGGCTGTGCTTAAGGCGGGTGGTACCATGATGCCAATGGATGCATCGTTTCCGGCTAATCGTTTGTCTTATATGGTGTCCGATGGTAACGCAATCGCAGTTGTAACAACGAAAGCAAGCCTAGCGACCGTGGAAGACATGAATTTGTCGATTGCAGTGATGTGCCTGGATTCGTCTGAGCTCGCGTTGCAAGACGCAGAGTTTTCTCCGGCGGCAAATCAAGTTGCAGCTGGCGACGACGAAGCGTATGTTGTGTACACGTCGGGGTCTACCGGCAAACCCAAGGGTGTTCCTGTCTTGCACAAGGGTGCCGCCAACTTTATACTCCACATCTCTTCCAAATTGGACGTGCATGGTGCGCGTGTTCTTCAATTCTTGGCCATGGGCTTTGACGGTTGCCAATGGGAAACCTGGATGGCATTCTCGACTGCCTCGGTATTGGTGCTGCGCTCAAACGACTTGGAAAACGATTTCCAAAACGTGAATGCAATGGTCCAGACTGCAACGGGATTAACTTTGATGGGCGACCCGCTCAAGTACCCGAACTTGAAGTTGATTTGCGTTGGTGGCGAAGCCATGACTCCCCACTTGCGAGACGCATGGTCCGATCACGTGTGCCTTGTCCATGCGTACGGTCCAAGCGAAGCCAGCATCATCACTCATGCCCAGGTAATTGAGCCGACCAGTCAACTCACGGTCGGCGGTCCGATATCGAATGTGACTTCGTACATTCTGGACGAAAACCTTACGTACGGACAGCTCAACGCGCAGGCCAATGCCGTCGCGCGATTGCTGACTGAGGTGGGCGTTCGTGTCGGCACTCGTGTGGCTGTGATCATGGAGCGTTGCCTGGAGTTTCCCAT